GAGGAGTAGGGGCCATTCCCCTACCCCCAGCATACCTACAGCTGCTCCTAGAGTCCATTTCTGGGGATCAGGTTAAAATTTGATATTTGGCTGAGTTTTTTTCCAGGGAGGTGGGAGAATGGAGAGATGATACAGGCCCAAAGGAGTCAAGCCACCATGTTTGTGTAGTGGTCTGAATTTGTCTTTAATGCATTTGAGCTGGGGGGGGGGGATTTCCAGCCAAAAGGGATTCTAACATTTTCAGGGTGTGTGAGGGCTTCAGAGATCTCTAACAAGACTTCAGGTCTCAGTTGCTCATGTTTGCAATCTTCACTTTTTAACACTTTCCCCATCCCTGCTCTATGAGATCTCCATAAGAGGAACTTCAGCACAAAGCAGGGAGCAAGAACCAGGCACTAAATAAGTGAGAGAGCCAAGATTTAATTGTAAAGAATTGTAAATAACTGTAAAGCAACTCATACACTCTGAGGTCTCTGTGAAAGAGAATAGCATGGCTACCTCTCCAGATTTTACTTCTGTACTGTGCTAGGTGCAGCAAGGGAATTTTAAAGAGGGAGACAAGGGGCTGGGATGTAACTCTTTGAGGTTCAACAAAGTTAAAACTTTTTTAAAAAAAAAATGGGACTGCATTTGATGTGTTTTACCTAAACAGCACCTAGAAGTTTTTTCAAATGCAACAGCACAGAGGCTTCCTGAGAAATTCAATGTTTTCTGCCCAAGGAAGGGGTATCACATAGGACAGAGGCAGCCTGGAGCTTGTAGGAAGTTTCTTTTTGTGTTGCTAATAGAGTTTAAATTTAATTTCCTGGATTTTATGACTCTTTGTCTCCCAAAGCCCACATGGCCAAAACAAGGAATGGCTTCTGCCTACACGTATATCCCTCCGTACCATCTTAACTGAGAACAACAAAAACAACATATTGACAAAATGTAGGCCTGTGAATTTATCTTTTTCTTTCTTTCTTTCTCCTGTAAGATTTTTAGCACCTTTGCCTAATGAAGAAGCCAGTGAAGCTACAAAAACTTGTATCATGTATTTTGTGCATTTGGTTAGTCCAATGAAGGTATTGCTGCTTTGTGGATTTTGGGTGTTATTGTACTTTTCTCTAGGAGCAACATGGCTATCCCTGGATATGTATTAGGTGGTGTTAGCCACCTAGTGTGTTCCTTAGAAGTGTTGTTGAGATGTCTTTTGCCATGTATATAAAAAAAAACTTTATATTTGAACCATGCTTAGTACTGGTACAAAAAACATGTTTGGAATGCCAAGATGAAACATCTCTCTATCAATAGCTACAGAAACACAAACAAATTCAAAGGCCACATCTACTCCATGGAAATCCAGGCAGGTCAATCACACTCATTGGATGCCTTCCCTAGCATTTCAGCTTTTGCCTCTGTGAATTCCAGTCACATCACTGCTGCTTGATAACTCTCTTACTGTAAAGTCACCTTGCGTGCCTTTTTTGAAGCCTTGCAACACAATTCTTTTTTTCCTCTTTTTCAAAAGGAGGAGGGGGAAACCAACTTTATTATTAAGCTTATCTCTTTTCTCTTTGTTTGTTGATAAATTTTTACCCGCATTTGGGAGGGGGGGTGTTTGCATTCTGAATGTGTAAACACACTGTCTGTCTATTCACACAAGAAACCTTATGGGCCCCGAGAAATAAAAAGATAGAAATAACTGCATGATTATGTCAAATGAATGGCTAACCAATATACATAGCTCAGACAGAAGCGTCCATTTCCCACCCCTCCAGTTCATTTTGAATTCATTTTGCTGATAAGAAAATTGAGCATATGAGAGTCAGTGGGAACATGGCATAATATATCTGCGTCTGCTTTCCATCCAAACAAAAGACATGCAGATGAAAAATGCCATACATTAGCAACCGAACAGTCATCTCTTATGGTAATGATTACACCACTATCCTCCAGACATTATGCTCAGTGGAGTAGTGCAGTTTATCAACTACTAAGTAGAGTGGTTAGTTCTCTCTTCTCCATGTCCCTTGGCAGGTTGGATTCTTTAGCCCACATGAAACTTGTACATTTATTGGGCTATTGATTGGCAGAATGCATTAACAAACAATCCTTTTGCCTTTTTGAGCTTTTCAGGAAGCACCTCTCCTCAGAAATCCATGTGGTTATTCCAGGCCTTTTAAAAAATTAAAATTAGTTCCAAAAAAAGTTACATCACATAGACACATTTCCCCACAATGAAGATCTTCTCTCTGTCTTGGAATTATAGTTTAGTTTTGCTTTGTTCCACATTCTTGTTGTTTTTATTCTTAAGGTCTTTTCTATCCTGTTTTTGAAGAAAAATGAAGAGCTTGCTAAATTCTCCAAAAGAAAACAAAGACCTAAATCCAGATTTTTAACAGGTTTTTAAGCTGTTGGACAGCAACCTCTCAAAGATGATTTAGTAGTGAATTCCTGCACTAGCAGTAGATTAGACTGGATGGTCTTTTTGGCCCCTTCCAAGTCTGTACTATTTATTTACATATTTATTTAAACTATTTATACTGTGTCTTTCAACCATAAAGGTTCCAAGTGTGGCCTTCAAATCATTAATTTGTTACTTGCCTGCTCTTGGGCTTACAATCTAAATAAAAAGGGACACACAATGAAAAGGGGGACCGCAGTTAAGCAAGAATTAAGTCCAGCAGATGCTGGATGCCTTTCACTCCCTCAGAGGCCAGAGCAAGGGTGTTTGGAATGCAGGAAGGTCCTCTCACCAGCTTCTGCACCAAGGCAGGATGGAGCTGTGCCCAGATGCTCTTCTCTCCCTCAGAGGCCACAGCAAATGCCAGTTGGAATGGAGGGTGGGACAGCAATTATATAATTCGATGAATTATTATCTTAGCTAAAGTTGAACAGACCCAATGAATCCGTGGAGCTTATGTAAGTGTTGATTTATCAAGTGTCCTCTTGGTGATCTACTGAAATGGAAGCCACCAGCTGCCATTGGTGTGATGGCATTTTAATAAGAAAAATGAGGTGGGAGGTATTTTTAAACTCTTAATTGTGTGCCTTCAAGTTGTTTCTGACTCATGGTGGACCCTAGAGAAAACCTATCGTGGGGTTTTCTGGGTCTGAGAATGTGTGACTTACCCAAGATTATCCAGTGAGTTTCCATGGCTGAGCGGGGAATCAAACCTTGGTCTCCAGAGTCATAGTCAAATGCTCAAATGCTGCACCACCCTGATATTGATACCCTGATCAAATTTAAATGGATTAAGAAGTCAATAGCAGACACAGAATTTCTGTACTAGTCCTAGTTTTGTCATGACTGGGACTGGATGTACCTTGATTATCACTATCCGTTCTGCACAGATATGTGACATTTCTTGCCCCATGAGGACATTTGCCTGTCAATGGCATCCTTCCAAAATTATTTATGAGAAAGCTAGACTGAACATCCATTCTCTCACTGGTTTTGCTTACATTCTCTAGAGTCTTTGTATCTTGGAGTAGTTTATGCATGAAATGCTTTTTTTAAAAAAATTACAGTAGATTTAAGTTAACCTTTTTTTTAAAAAAAATCACACTTGAAAATTAAAATTTAAATAATTTAAAGTGGTTAATAATTAAGTACAGACAACACTTTTCAGTTACCCTGTACCTGCTTTTTGAGAAAGATAAAAACACAGAAGTCATATCCAGGATGGTTACAGCCATGTGGAATAAGAGCTTGGGAAATTTACTATGGGGGACTGGCTCCCAGAATCCTCTGGACAGCATGACTACACTAATAGCCATACTGACTATAAGGGGTGTTCCAGCAGTGAGATGAAAAAGTGCCATGGGTGAGAAAAGTAGCATCACTAAGGTGGGAGTCATCCCAGTGCAGTAACTCATGCTGTCACCCCCAGGCTGCTTGGCACACACCCCAGCCACCCCTCCTCCACCAGCCAAGCTGACTCTGCCTAGCAGACTTTTCTGTGTCTGGAAAGACTGCTGACTGAGTGGGAAAGAGAGGCAACCCACTTTCCTACCACACTAGAATACAAAAAAAAAAAATAATCAGTTAACAAAGTAGATGTGTTCCTGGACATTATTTCTTTAACAGAAACATTGGTACCTGAGGCAGAAATAGCATGGAAGGCACAGCAGCCACTGGTAGGGATGGGCTGCTGCCACCACCTAGCAGCTTTTTTCTTGCTTGGCCAGTGCCCAACCAAACTTAGAAGGAGTCCAGCTCCACCTCCACCAATAGCTGCCACTGATGGGCAGATGAAGTGCCCTGGCTGGCAGGAGGGATGGCCAGGAGGGTCTTGGGACAGACAGGAGCAATTACCTCACTGGATGTTCACACACACACTCTTTGGACGTTATCACACGGGGCCTAAAGCAGTCCCATCCCCATCGCATCCCCGTCCCATTGCGGTTCCTTTTCAATCCAGAACTTACCGATATACAGAAAGCAGCATTATTCCAGTATCATTCTGGTCATGGCAAAATGTAATTCCCAAAGAAACCGGCATTCAAAAGAACGGAGATGATACCAGATGATGCCGCAATGGGACGGGGATGGGATGGGGATGGGACGGGGGTGGGTGCGACGTCGTGTGAACACACGGGGAAAGGAAGTGCAATGGGACAGGGATGCGACGGGGATGGGCGGGGTTTCTCTGCGATGTTGTGTGAACACAGGGGAAAAGGAAGCGCAATGGGACGGGGATGCGACGGGGATGGGACTGCTTTAGACCCTGTGTGATAACGTCCAGTGAGGTATCATCTGGTGCAGTCCAGAAAACCCATGCCCCCTGGTGACACCCCTGTGTGGGAGATAAAGAGTAAACACCCATGCAGTTTGCAAGATGCTGGAGAAAAGTGTGGCACACAATCTTTCTCCATCTTCTTTTGTTATTGTTGTGTGCCTTCAAGTCATTTCCATCTTACGGCAACCTAAGGCAAACCTATACTGGGGTTTCCTTGGCAAGTTTCTTCAGAGGAGGTTTGCAATTGCCATCCTTTGAGGTTGAGGGAGTGTGACTTGCCAAAACAGGATTCAATCCCTGGTCTCCAGAATCATAGTCCAGTGTTCAGACCACTACACCACCTTTGGCTTCACTTTTTACTAGCAGATAATTGAGTTCTTCAGTAACCAGATCAACAACTAAATAAGATATCATGCCCAGTGGCATGTTGATGTCATATACCTTAAACATATGGTTGTACCTTGTGGGCTATTATGCAATGGACACGTAAGTTCATGGTTGAATAAACAGAGTTCCATTTCACATACAGCAAATGGTTTCAAGTGTAAACATTTCACAGGAACCGAAATCCTATTGTTAGCCCAAGCAAGAATAGAGTAATTGAAATAAATGGATTGATCTATGGGTTGACTCATCATTCAACTGTTGAGTCAATGGGTCCATTCTAGTTGAGACTAACCATGCCTTTACCTATTTTTAGTGCATAACTCTTTATATGTATATTCAATGTACCATTTTCTTCACTGGCACTGCAGAAACAACTACTGTGCACTCCACATTGCACAAGAGCAGCAGAGATGTGTTCAGTTATTTTCCTTTATCTGGAGGCAGAGCAAAGACATCATCCTCATGACTGTCTCAAGGACACAAAGAAGTTCCTGACGATTCCTGTTGCAGTGTGCTCAGCTAAAGGAAAATTGCTCTGCATGTCTCTGCTATTTCCTTCACTCTCCACTGACATGGAAAATGCCATCTCGAAGAGGTTGCATCAGCAGACGTATTATAGCTACATGCTGAAGGTACATCTCCTGATGAAGAATCTGAGACAATATCTACAGAAATGAAAGGGAAGGGTGTAGTGAAGATGGTTTTGTTCAATATATTGGGGAAGGTATTGTATTAAGTATGATAGAAATCTTTCAAATGAAAGATTCTCCACCCCAACCAAAACATTCAAGATTTTGAGATGGAAAAATGAAATTTGCTAGGCATTTAAAAGGAAGCCAGTGTAATGTAGTGGTTTGAAAATTCAACTACAACTCTGGAGATCAGGGTTCGATTCCCCACTCGGCCATAGAAACCCACTGGATGACTTTGGGTGAGCCACACACTCTCAGCCCCAGAAAACCCAATAATAGGGGTGCCTATAACCCTGAAGTGTGCCTTAGGGTTGACATAAGTCAAAAGTGACTTGAAGGCACACAACAAACAAACAAACAAACAAACAAGAAGAAGACATTTAAAGATGATGATGTTGTAATAATGCATGACTGGATCTTACATTGACTGAATAAATGCTTTTGCCAAAATAAAACAACAAATTTTATAGTTCCCCTAAACGACTATACCCTAGTACAGCTTGTCCTGGCACCAACCAGAGAAGAAATGACCCTAGACTTAATTCTACATGGTGTGAAATATGACCATGGCTGAACAAATTGTGTTAAAAACTTTAAATTTTCTATGTGAGTGGAATAGCGCCAACTAACTCCAACACAGTCCTATTTGACTTCAAAACAAATAATTTATCTAAAATGAGGGTACTAAAAAGAAAAGTCAAAAGGAAAAGACTCAATTCTCCCTCTGATGTTTCGGCTCACTCAAAATCACATTAATATAGTCTCAGCTAGAATGTACACCACAGGTCATAAAAGAAAATACATAATCCAAGGGATCATTGGCAATCCTAAGAAGTGTGAAAGAAGCTATTAAATATAAAAAGCCTTCATTCAGAAACTAGAAGTCTTGACAACGAACTTAAAAGAACACAAAATTGCACAAGCAGAAAATTAGGTATACACAAATGGGTTTGAAGAGTGTGTCACAAACAGCAGGGATAAATGGCCATTTTGGTCCATGGAGAGATGTAGGTCATGTGTCGCTATTAGGCCTGTGTGTGTGCATGTGTGTGTGTTTAAACATAGTCATAAATGATCTGATATTAGGTCCAAGTAGGGAAGGTAGTGAGATAAAAAAAATGTGAAGAGCTTTTAAACGATCTCCCCAAAGCTGTTGACATCTTGTCCAAAAAGCATCACACCACACAGTTATAGCATTATGATTCCATTTTCACTGCTAAGACATCTTGGGGTTTGTAGTTTGGTGAGGCACTACAGCTCTCTGGCTGAGGTTCCTAAATACCCCCCAAACTACATATCCCATTATTCCATGGAAGGGAGCCATGCCAGTTAAAGTGAAATCACAGAGCTAGTTTGAAAGGGCCATGGACTAGTTATGCTTTTGATCTAATCCAACATGTTTTTTCTGTGTTCTTATGTTCTGACAATGGGAAGGAATGAAGTGCTCAGATTAACAATGCCTCTAATCTTCTAATGTTCTGATTATTGGGAAGGGGCACTTTCAGTTTATGTTCATGAAGCTAAAACAGTAAACAGTGTTTATTTTCCTCCAACAGTGTTGTTTTAGGGCATTACTCTTCAGTTTTTCATTGAGCTTAGCCACTTTAATAGACTGGGCAGGTGGAATGTTTATGGAAAAAGGACTAGAAGAAGTGCAAGCCTAGAAAAGGAAGAGGCTGCAGTAGGAAAAGGCAATAAGGCAAGCTGGAGTGACTGTAGATCATCAGTAGAATTTTTGATCTGTATTAAGAAGAGCCCAGTTTCAAATCCTGGCTTCTTAGCCTTTGATGATAGTTTTGCCATTGCAGAATACCAGTGTACCTCAGTTAAAGCATTGAAGAATGCATAAATAGGTCAATTATCAAAGTAGATGTGGTCCTGGGCATTACTTCTTTAACAGAAATGTTTGTACCAGAGGTAGAAGTAGCATGGAAAGAACAAAGATTCCTACACCACAGGAGGGGGAAATAAGTTCAGCATGTTTTAGCAGTCTTTTAAATTCCAAACTATCAATGTGCACCTGTGAAATGAAACAACCCGGTCAGGTCATCATTGCATGATCTTACATAAGTAAACAAAAACATGTTGAACCTTCTAGAAACCATTTGCAAATTCTTCCAAAAAGTCTCCAAGAATGTTTTTTTATCTTTCTTTCACAACTCTACACTATTCCTACGATTTCCATTCTCATGGCCAAAGTTATAGATATATGTTTTTTACCATGCTGGGGGAAACTGGTGGGGCCAACTTATCTGCCCCCTTTCCCCACTTTTCTGTTCATGTATAGAAAAATGGATGGTAGGTTCATTGGATTAGACTTTTTGCTGCTTACCTTTCCTGTTGTAGGTGAACACACATGGCTACAGTAGGACTAACTAAAGTAAAATCCCACTGTTTCTTAGTTGGGGCTTTGTTCCATTGTTTAGTGCAGAAACACTGCTGCAAACCAACACTGAAAAATCTGTGTTTGTCCAACCCTTCTGCACCATCCTTGCTATGCCAATGCTGCTAAAAACATCTAATTGGAAAGAGGACATAGAGGAAAGGGGGATAGGGGAATCTTAAACAGACTCTATAAAAAGAACCTACTTTATCTTTCTTAGCTGAAGTATGTCTGTAGTTTTCAGCTGATTGCTGGACGTTTGGAGTATTTTTGACAAAAAGCTGGGACATAAACATTGTAATATATAAATAAAAGTATTAACCTTTCAAGAAGCAAATACTTAATCTAAATTACTACTAGGAAGAACTTTAATTTGTTCTTTTTAAAGACTCTTTCTTGATTATGAAAAAGAAAGCAATTATGTTATGTTGCTCATATTTTTGATTAATACAAAAAAAAGTAATGTTAAGTCACATTACAGTTTGAAAATATGCCCTTGCATATTATTTTGAAACTTCTGTATTTGAAGTCACTTAATTAAATGCATAAATCCTCTAACTGGTGTCAATGCTTATAATTAAATGAGACAATAGGACAAATCAGTAGGAGCAGAAATAGTAGACAAATGTATGAATTTTAAAAACAAATGCAATGTTTTTTATACTGTAAGTCCAAATGAGTCATTTCTTTTGTGGCAATGTAGGAGTAAGCTTATCGCTTCGACTTCATACATACAAAAATTCAAATAAATTCTCAGTCATGAATTACTGTAGGACAAATATCAACAACAGATATCATGACTCAGTTACTCAGAGTTTCTTTTTATTAACCAAGGAAAGGTCACATTTCACAGATCAGAAGTCAGTGAATAGATCATTATAATATGATTTTTATCCTCTTTGGTTTTAACTTGAAATGCATTTGGTTCTTTCAGCAGTAGGGTTCCCAGATTTCAGGTCCTGGTCTTGAGTCTTAAGGAGTAAACTTAGAAAGTGGGGTTGGGAGGCTGTTATTCAATTCCTTGGCCATTGGCCTGTGGAGTCCCATGGAGCTCTATTTTGTCTCCCATGGAGGGGTGACACTAGACTGAGGATGCAGGGGGTACAGACTGGACTGGGTGACACTTCAGAGGAGAGTGTCACCATTTGCACTGCTAGGAAGGGGCTGCTTTATGAGTCTAGTGGCTCTGCTGGCTGGACAATAAGAGAATCACCTCCCTTTACTGTTCACCCAGCAGCTCCACCAGACCTGGAAAGGCTGTGGAGTGGCAGTAGCAGCCCACTCCCACCAGCAGCCACTCATGGGAAGGGACTGCCTTCTGAGTGTGGCAGCTATGCTGGCCAGGCAATGAAGGAATTTATTTCCCTTTGCCACTCACCCTGCAGCTCCATTAGACCAGGAAAAGGCCATTGAATAGAGGAGATGGAGTATTAAAAATGATCTGCACTGGGTGTCAAATACAATAAGTATGCCACTGCTCCCTTATACATTAAGCTGTTAGGAAAGGTTGTCTGGAGTTTTTGGTGTCAACTGTCATCAGTAACTGATGATACTCAGCTCTGTCTCTCCTTTCTACCTCAATCCAAGGAAAGTCTCCATTCTAAATCAGTGCCTGTCAGCAGTGATGGACTGCATGCAGGTGAGCAAGTTGAAACTCAGTCCAGACAAGACAGATGTGCTCCTGGTCAGGGGAAAGGCAGATCAGAGAATAGGGATTCAGCCTGTGCTGGATGGGGTTCCATTCCCCCTGAAGACACAGATTCATAGTTTGGATATTTATTTATTTATTTATTTATATCCCATCTTTCTACCAATACAGGGACTCAAACAACGAATTTAAAACTGTACAAGTTCAAAGTAATACAAAAGCATTAAAATTAAGATTGTTTAAAAAACAATTGAACAATTTTTAAAAGTTAAAATATTACATATTAAAAATTAAAGTGTATTAAGAACTCTGTACCAACCTTAATATATGACTTGTACAGTACTTAAAAGCCCAATATTCATCAGCCGCTTTGATAGCTTCAGCTAAAGATGAGATATAATTATTATTATTATTATTATTTTGAAAAAGCCTGATGGCACAAGAATATTTTTACCCACCGCCAAAGGCAGGGATTCTAATGATGCAACTGTCCTTCCCAGTAGGCTCAGGGAAAAGCAAACTGCTGTAAACTCTCCTAGCTTATGTGTTCTT